GGAGGGCCCTCAAGAGGCCACCATGTTCATCCACTGCTGCAGGATTGGACCCGGACTTTGATCTTTCCTGATGGCTGCTTGGCCAACGTGGTGATGGGGCCGCTCGGCTCATTGGGGTGTCCTTCGCACAGTGTAGGGTGGGCTGCGAGAGCAGCTCTCCCACTTCAGACCAGACTCCTGTCCTCTCTCCCCTGTGGAAGTTGTTCATTTTTGTCTAAAATAGGGAAATAACCCGTGGGCTAAAGGAAGACCAAGACTGGTTGAATAAACAGGTGGTTAATATATTCTCCTTGTCGACCCAGCTCAGTGGGCTCCCTGTCCTAATGAATATTGAAGAATCTTATACAAATTGGAACAGGTTCAGCAGGACAGTTTTTCCAGAGAACCAGCCCAGAAAGGCTTCCTGATCACCACTGTGGGACCTTCCTTCTGCAGTGGGAGAGCACAGCCTGTGGCCTTGCTCGAAGGCCCAAGGTGGGATGAGCCCATTCCTCTTCAGGGTGCACTGTGGGAGGTGCAGGCCAGGGAGCTCTCCAAGAAGGGCACTTGTGGGGGGACCCACAGGCCTGCAGGGTGGAGAGAGAGAGGCTCCTGAAAAGTTGCTTGGCCTTGGGTGCTGTGGACGTTCCGTGTGCCACAAGCTAGAGGTGTCTGAATGTGTCCAGCCACACCATGGTCACCAGGCATTTCCATCACTGGTAGTGTACGCCACATGGACCAAACAGAAATCAGAGGAACTAACTGGAACTGAAGAGCAAAGACGTTAGAAACAACACCACAGCTGTGACACTCTAGAAGCGCAAGAGGGAAGAGGAAGGGAGCGAAGCAGAGTTTGGCTCTATGTCTGCACACAGTGATGCCTGAACAAGGACGGGACAGCCTCGTTTATGGCAGCTACCTCTGAGGCACTGCGGGGGCTCAGTTGTTCTCAGAGAACCCACGCAGAGTTAACTCTTAGACCCTAACACAGATGATGAAGCACCTGCATGCCACCTAAAAATATTTCACGGAGGTGGCATGAACAGAAGAGCTCAGGGTTGCTCAAAGGTGACTCTGAGGGTCCAATAGATTCTCTGACAAAAGATAAAGCTTGTGATAAGGTTTGTGGACTTGAATCCAGAGCCAAAAGCTTATGGGTTAGTGGGTAAGCGAGGATTAACCTTTGACAAGGCCAACAGAGTTTTCTGGGAATGGAAGTCACTGGCTCAGAATGAAGTTCCTGGAGATAACCAAGATAACCTCTTGCACTAAAGCCATGATCAACACCAAGAGTTCCTCCAGAGAAGAAGGCTGAGGCAGAGGGACAGGCAGGGCTCAGTGAAGCAAGAACAACAGCAGACCCTACTATTGCGGCTACCTCCATCAGCCAGAACAATACCCAGGGCATGGGGAAAACACAGTCAGTGTGCCCATGGCCTTGTTCTGCAAAGGCTTAGCAAAATTTTGTGCACCGGTGACTAGCTGAATGATACTGAGACTATAAGCTCAGGCAGGGTTTTCATGGGAACATCAGATGTTGCCGCAGCAGAAAATAAGGCCTGTCAGCTAGAATGCAAGGAGGGCATTTCCAAGTGTCATCCTGGGCACTTATGTGGAAGTCCCTGCATTGCTGTGAACTCTGCTACCAATAAAAGAAAAGCTACGTGGAGAGCAAGAAAAACAGCTGAACTATTGGATTTGCAATAATCAATTTATTTCCACAAAAGAAACATGCAAACTAAGTGGGTTAATAAGAGTTTGGATTACATCATGGAAAGGAGCGATGCTTCGTGCGGAGCCCTTGATCTCTTCTCCCCGACGCCCTCATGGACAGAATAGAGGACAAAAACGGGTGAAGAGGAAGCTGAAGACATCTTCCAAGGGACAGGGAATCACCTAATCCCCCACCTGGGGGTAGAGTTTAGAGGAGATGCTAATATGTCATTGCTCTGAGTTTCACGGAGCGAATAGAAGGAAAAACGGACTGAGGTACCAGCTAGCCCTAGTGCGAAGGATGCGGTCTTTCACTGAGATATAGATTCAAGCAAGAGCTGAATTCTGCAGTGAACTTAGGAGAAGGAAGCACGAGCTGTGCTAGACACCAGAGCTCAGTGTGTTAATTTAGACTGTCAGTCCACCGATTCAGGATTAAGCTAACATGCCAGGCTGTGACCTGCAACACCTGAAGAGTTTGCAAACACTTCCTCCTCCTGACTGTGTAATGAGGAGGGCTAAGTCTCAAACAGAGGGACATGGCAGAGAGTCAGGAGCTGGAAACCCCATAAATCTTCCCAGCATACCTAGGGGCACCCTGACTTTCCATGTGCTCAGAGAAGGGAACTTTCACCGTATCCTGCAGGCAAAAAAAAGTTTCATGTCTTTATTTTGGCCCATGTTGGCTGAAACCACCCATAAACCACTAATTGCAATTGCAAAGAGGGAGCTGGCAGACATGGGACTTGCTGAGATTATGCAGATTACTATTTTATTGATAGAAATATGATTTTCAAACTGACTGTGAAGCTAGGTGAGAGCTGGTGGCAGATGGACAAAACTTTTTTGTAGCTGAGCCCAGAGATGGACATTTTTTTGTCTCAGTTTGATTTAAAAGAACAACAAAGAACTATTGTCTCTCAGATAAAATGCAAACTCCGATTTCTAGAGCAACAACTCAGGATGAGAACTTAAAGACGGATTTATATAGATTTTACTAGCAGTTTTTCAGGCATGGCAAAATTACAGGCCAGCTGCAGCAAAAGGGCTTCACATTTGCAGCATAAGAAAAACGGACCTCTTGGAGTGATGGATTTGATTAGGATGACAATTGAAGACTACATGTTTTTCCTGAACTGTTATTCTCACTTCTGTGAGATAACCTTACTTGTTAAATGGAGGATTTCTGGGCATCAGAGTTATACTTGTAGAAAGGATGGTCATGATAGACAGTGGGCAGGGGTTTAGCAGCTCACAGAAACGTCCATCTTTGCATAGGTAGCACCTAGTCCCCACTAGACCCTATTCAACAGGGTCTTAAAATAATAAATGGTCTTGAAATAATAATTACTCACTGAAAAGGAAAGTGGAATCAAGCTCATGCTTGACAGCATTAAATTACAAGGATGGCACCTACAAAATACAGCCAGCCACTTGCAGATATTTTGTTCTGCAGAAAATCAAGCGATAGGCTGCTTGGGATGTTAGGCGCTGTAGCCCAAGGAACTACGGGTTTGCAAAAGTGCACAGACACAAAGCTAAACACAAAACAGCAGCATGACTGTGGTCCCAGGGGTTACTACCACTTCCTGAACACAAGAAGAATTCACACATACATTGAAAATCAGAAGCCAGAAACAACAGTTATGTCACATAAAGTTGCTCCACAGTCCCATGAGTGCAGGGTGTGTCTAACCAGACATACTTGGAAGAAGAATAGGCAGCACCTTCTCCAGCAACCAGGAGGAGAGAAGATAACGGACACCAGGCTTGTCTTTTTGCCTGGGACAGCTTAATTTCGCAGCAAAACCAGCAGGTTAGGCAACCAAACTCTGGGACATAACGTTGCCAGGAAAAATGGCAGTTCCCAGTGAGAACTGTTCTGATGATGCCATGGTGACCTGCAAGTTACAGTGCAGAGCTCCTCAGAAGTTGTTCAAACACTGTTAATTGTTTGGCTGTGAGGATCTGAGGTCGCACGCTACAGAAATGATACTTCCATGCTTTGGCTGGGGAAGGAAGATAGGCTCTTGGGAGCTGTATCTTTAAGAAGCTTAATTCTGGAGACAGGGAGTCTGGAAATGGGCTGCAGCAGTGCAGGTTTTATTATGCAATTTCTCTTGGACGTAATATAACCCCCGAATAAAGGGGTTATCCATTAAGCACCTGCATTCACAGTGACTCCTGAGCACCACAGATAAAGTCCCCAGGAATCCATGCACGTGCTTAAATTGTCAGCTCGGGGGAGAGGGGGAGCTGTGCTTTTATGCACAAGGTACGGTGGGGGCCAGGACTGGGAATCCGGGGCACAAGTTTGCAGGACTGGGGTTCATCTGCTTGCTGTGTAATATCTCCCAGACAGTCTCCTTCCTTCTCACAAAATCATCCTATTCCAGTTGTAGCTCACTGTGCTTGGCATTACGGTGAGGCCACCTGAGTCTTGCAGGACTGACACAAACAAAGGGCTATGGTATCCTGAGCACTGCAGTACTATTAAGCCTTTTGGGCAAGTAAGGGTCAAGGTCTTCCCCCCGCTCCTGCCAATATCCCCATGCTGTTCTGATCCCATGGCAGGGGGATGACTAGGGCCATCCTAAGGGGACATCATGCCATGGAGAAGCTGCAATACGCAGTAGCATTAGGATTTCCTCTTCCTCTCCTGCTGCCCTGGTGTGCAGGGTTCCTTCCCTCCAAACCACCTCCTTCCTCTCCCCCTCTGGTTTCCGGGACTCGCAGCTCCCCTCTGATTTTACCTACGTGGCAAGTCTCATTTGGCCTGGCACTTTGCTGTAAAGATAGAAGAGCTCTTCCAGCTAGAGGGAGAGGAAGAGTGGCCTACTTCCATCTGCTCCCCATCCCCATTCCCAACACTGAGCATGCAGCATTGTTCTGGCAGGGCAGAGGCACACCAGGGCCAGGCAGGGCCAAGCAGGCTGGTACACAAGCTACCGTGACAGGTTCAGTGGCGGTGTCATGGTCCTCTTGCTTGCTAGTTGTGTGATCAGAACTGCAATACTGGTGGAACTTCAGCATATGGTCTATCAAACATCTTCCTGGAGCTAAGTGGTAGCTGTGGGACCACTTAGGTTCTGTTCCTGGCAGGAGATCCCCATCCTGACTCCATGCCAGAGCTCTAGTGTCATCGCAGCAGCACAGAAGGGGGTCATAAGGGAAGCGAAAGGCTACGGGCATCTGCTGATGCCAGCCACTCCAGCAAATCCTTTATTTTCAAGACCATACACGATGTAACGGGCAAGGTAAGAGCATAAAGTTATCCAAAAGCTACGGTTCAAAACTCGCTGACTGACCTTCTTGAAAAATGCAAGTAGCAGGTAGCAAAGGGCACTGCTGTCCTCTGTTGTGGCTGACAGACGAGCTGACCTGATTTCCGTTTCTCCACGTGCAGCAGAAACACATCTTCCCTCAGCCTAAACTGGGGCAAACACCTTGTATTACAATGAGAAGCTGTTGCAGATCCTCACTTTTGTGTTTTAGATGCCCTACCCATGTGAGAGAAACAGTGCCCCTCTATCATTGCATTGCCCTCATTTTTAAAATACACATTTTACTGCTCCCAGTCTTGAAACATCTCAGGCAGTAGATAAGACCTGAAGCCAAGGGGTTAGTGGCCTGTCACACTACTGCAGAGAAGGCTCATAAACATCTGTAGCAATGGTGTTTAAGCAGCTGGAGCCTCACCTAACCGATATGGACTTCCCACCCAAATGAGCTCCAGCTGCAGGTACCCGTTCAGAACTGGGACTCGTACCTGGAGCTGAAGCCCTGCCTCACACTGGACTACCCTAAAACGTACAAGAACTCTCTGCTTTTTAAGGAGACGTCCGAAAGGCAGACATAACCAGAGAGCCCCCGCACTTGTTTAAGAAATGAGTAATAGACTGATAGAAACAGAGCTGGTTACTGCCAGGCCTCTACAAGAGCAGGCGCCATGTAAATAAATATAGAATTTGCAAGTAAACGTAACGAAATGCATGTAAATATAGAAGTAAATGTAATGAGTATGAGGTAGCAGTAAACAAAAGACAAGGCTTTCTGTTTGCAAAAGAAGGTGTCATTATAGATCTCCTTTCAAAAAATAAAAGATTGCTGTTTAATCCATCTCAGCTTATGGACTTTATGCACACACCGCAGGATCGTCTCAGCTCCTTTCTCCCGCCTGTCCTCCAGTTAGGACTGCTCTTAAGGGATATGTCGACATACAGCAATAAGCGATGAAAACAGCCCTGAGCAACTAGTTTGGGTACGAGACGCTTTGCTGCTATGGCACGTCGCCTGGGCTTATAGAACGACCTTCTTCTCAGGTTAGGAACCAGTACGGAAACCAACTGAAGTACACGAGCTCCAGCCTTACAAACCTGTTTCAGCCAGGGAGGTTTGTCTAGTCAGAGCGGAGGCACGGCTGGAAGCAAGCGGTCGGAGCGGGTGCCCGGCGCCCC